CTCAATATCAGCACAAGGAGGCAAAGGGTTCCTAAATAACATTAAACCTGAATTTTTAAAATATTAGCGCTAAATAACATTTTTACAAATCAAGTATGCTCAGTACTTGCCGCACCACCTAAATGAGTGTCATGGTTCAGCTCCACATATCGTCCAACCAGACAGTTCAGGGGGTCTGAACTTCTTCATGTTAGTTCACAAAGACACCATGGAATTGATTTAAGCTCCTTTTGTGGTCTGCCTACCTTTTTAATCATGTAATATCACCTAAACCGCTGTTAAAGTAGCATTATTAACACTCCCTGCTTGAAAAACAAAGCTTTACTACTGAGACACCTGGCTGTTTAAATAAAAATATGTAATGATCAAAATTAGCTAAATCAGGTTCATCCCCCAGGAACCATTGCCTAGCAAAATGTTGTATGTCTTATACATCAACCAGCACACTCTCACTATGATTGAATGCTCTGAGGCCTTTGCCTGTATCTATTTTTATAATAATTTGAATGCAGAGCACTGTAGTTTGTTTCCATTATGCCTCTAGCAATTATTCTACTATACAGACCATGAAGGAAGTATTCTGTCTTGTTTGAAGAATTTTTGGCTCATCATCCCTTGTGCCTCATTTTTTAAGTCATTTGAATTTTAGAAGATTTTAATATTTATGTTGAGTCTCATTAGCATTATTTTATGGAATAAATTCTCAGGTCTCCTAAATGATTTATTCAGCATATGAATATGCCCACCCACAAAGGTCACAGATTGGACATTATTATCATCTGTGATCCACCTGTTAGTGACTTCTTTGCCCTTGATCTGGGCATTTGAATTCTAGATTTGTTTTGAAGTTCCACAATGTCCTTACATTACAGCTATTCAAATTTGTTTTTCTAATCCATTTCAGATCTTGTATGCAATTGATAGTGCATCTGTCTTTATATATTAAAAAAGCAGCAATCTGAGAGGGAGATTAAAATTAAACCTATCACAAGTTCCTTAGTTAGTGATTACATAACTTTGCATTGTTCAAATTTTGCAATTCTTTGACCCATGGTCAGGCAAATAAATAAAAAATGATTAAGATCTCAAATTGTAAACTGGCTCTCAAACCTCTAGCTATTACTCTGCAAAAAAAAAAGTCCATCCTCCTCAGCAATTCTTAACATTTGGAAAGGTTCTAGATGGGGCTGTTGTCATTCACTTACAAGATAATTCATTTACAATAATTTTAACTTTAATTAACCATTAAACCTAGGTTTAAACCAATGCTTAGTTCCAAAACCAGTCAATAGGGTTACTACTGATATATTGATGACTACTCATTTTCTTATCCATTATCCTTGTTGGCCAAGGATGTTGCTCAACCCCAAACTGGCTAGACAGAGTGAAAGGCCTCCTCACCTTGGTAATCTTATGGTCATGTGGCATCTGGCACAGCTCATGTTTCTAGTCTTTTTAGTATCTATAGGTCTTGTATTTGAATCTATATTCAAATTTTTTTACAATGTTCCTAATGTCACTCATAGGCATTCACATCTCTCAATTTGATGGACAGAAGCTAAAACAATTATGTTCTTTCCAGGCTTCACTACTACATGCCTTGCTAGTGTACCAAAGAACTTTCAGAACCTGCAGTATGTTCAGAACTCAGCTGCTCAGATCTTAACTTTAACAAGTATTTCTTTCTTCTTATTTGATTCCTAGCAATGGGAATTTCTGAATAAAATTCAAAGTATCATCTTATCCTGAAGGAAGTGAATGCGTTGGATCCTGACTAAAATCGGTGAACTACTATTGCCCAAAACATCTATAGGTTAATGGTTCCCATGTCAGATGCTCAGCAGATGTTTAAAATATGTTCCAAAACCAAAGTTTGCCCTTAAAGGACTATAAAGTACTGATTTCAAAAGATTCAGAGGGCTACCGTGCACTAAATTACAAAACCTTAAAATATTAGCACTAACAGATCTGTGTCTACAAGTAAATAGACAGCACAGGATATCATGTACTAGAGCATTACTTCCAGCAATAAATTCAGACAACCCAGAGAAACTACATTCACATCCCGCCAGTCCAGGGGTTCTGCCCCCCCCCCCAAGAGTGATATCACACTTGGGTTGCTGCATGCACACTTCAACCCTCTGTTCCCAGCCACTCAATGAACTGTACACAGAGAGACAGCTGGTTCTGGAGTGGTGGCTTAAAATGCTGAATAGTGTGAACATTTGAAGTTTTAGGATTTCACTCCACATACCGTACTGTATGTGCCGCAAAGCTATTTAATTTTCAAAAGTCCTACTACACTATGTCTATAGATCCCTGAAGCTACTCTAAAGAAGGACCCGCCACCAAACTTTTTTCATTTTACTTTGGAGTTTACAGCACTAATGAAGCTTCCTCTTGCAATACTGTAAATGCCAAGCTACAATAAAAAAAAAACCTATAACTGGAGCATATGTAACAATCTCATAATGAGTTAATCACTGGTGTTCCAATGATATATGCTGTGAAATGTTACTTACAAGCCATTTATGTATAACCTAGTAGGGTTCCTTCACCATATGATGCAAGATGAAAGACCATAACTGATTCTCATTTGTGAATCATTTCATGAATTACACCTCATCAGAAATGTGCGATACGTTTTGTTTTCTTTTTTGCTAGAACCCACTTTATAATTCAGAATTAATACGGACATAGGACTCTTTTTGTGGCGTCATAATAGCCAAAAGGCATCTGAGAAGTAGATCTTTAAGTTCTAATCTAGAGGTATTTATGGTTTTAATTCTGTAAATAAGTGCTTCACAAGCAATTTAAACTTTTTTTTACTGCAGATAAATCATACCAGAACCCAAGTTTCACCCATTCAAATATCTGTTTATAGACAAAAGGGTGGACTGAATCAAAATGCAATCTGCCTTCTTCCCTGTGTTTTGTAATGTGAAACATAAGGTTAGATTACTTCCACCTGAAGGACTTGAGGGGTTTCACATACAGCCAACATGACTCTTTAGTTTTTTAAAGCTATATCCATTATAAAACAGAATGAGAAGACAAGAATACTGGTTTAATCTTAACGTCTGTTTGGAATGGTCAAGCATAAATGCAGGCAAACTATTTCTCAAAACAAACAGCAGGACCTTCCAAAGAAATTATACAATGACAGAAGTGTAGTGGGGAGTCTCTACCAATATGTAAGTCATTGTAAAATTCTCTTATGCCAAAATAACCACAACAAGGGAAACATTTTAAAATGATCTCTATTTCATTGTGAGTTAGTTCAAATGCCAATGCTACTGTTTCACAATTTCAAAATCTACAACACATGCATGCCAAGACACAAGAAGTCCTCACAGCTGCAACGGTTAAACTAGAATTAATTTTCTTCTGGCTGTTAGAATGCACTCAATCAGCAGGAAATGAGTCGATCCTACAGCTGACAATTACATTTCCACAAAACATTTTACAATCCCAAGCCTGCTTTGCTGCACTATAGAAAAAACAATTACAATTATTAATTCAGCATACAATGCTATCCAAGCAGCTCAATGGCATGCTGGTTAACTGCTGCCTTTCTGCTCCAGAGTTGGAGCAGGCTTCCATTATTTTGACGTTTGTGGCACTGCTGCCCTGGGACAACAGGTGTTTGATCAAGGAGCAGAGCAGAGCGCTGACATGTTCTTAATGCTGCCTTGTACCCTATGCTTCGGGGACAGGTTCCTTCTTGGCATGAGTCTCACCAGGATAAACACCTTGCTTATAACGGCACTTTACCTATATGCGTTACATGATCACAGCTCATTCACATCATTGACAAACACTAAAAGAGTGCAATATTTTCAACATGTGGGGTCACAAGGTTTTGAGAAGTTTAATGCTCTCAAGTGGAAACCTCAGAACCTCCTGGAAAGTGAAGGTCATTCCATCCCACCTGTCCTAACACATGGAGACACGGTCTACCTTCTTGTGGGAAACCAAGTGACATTTTATGGAGGAAAATGTATATCCACCAGGGGCTGAACTGAAGGGACCTGGATTGTGATCCTGGAAAGAACACATGAACATCTTAAAAAGTAGATGAGGGAACTCTTCTCGTTACCAATTATAAACAAGCAATAGACCGATCGTGCACTGGAGGCACTTATTATTCTACATCAAATGCAAAGCTACTACCGTAGATCGAAGGTTCTGAACCTGGGGATCCTGCACTCCCATCCAATATATTTCAAATGTGACCTCATCATAACAGATGAAGAAAGACAATACATGTGCAATGACACACCATTACATATACACCTTGGTCAGTATATTCTTTTTCCATTTCATCAACATGACATGGGAATTGTTCTGTCAAAAACTGTTCTGCAATTTTGAGCTTTGGCTGACATCGAACCATCCCATTGAAGGTTATAAAAATTACGTGCCTCTTAAAAGATGCTTTTTTAAAAACAAACATAATAATGAAATAATTCACTAAAAACTTAAACATTTGCCATAATAATAAAATAAATGTGGCAAATTTAATTTGTAATAAAAACACTTGATTAAAGTAGTATACATTTATCAATCCATTGAACAACCTAAAAACACAATCAAAAGTGATGAACACATTATATTTTGGTGGGGGTGTGGAGTACCTTTTATCACTGTAGGGAGTGCAGAACCTGTAAAAGTTTAAGAACCCCTGCGCTAGATTAATCAGGGTACTAATTAATGAAACATTTACTTTGAAATGGAACAGAGTCAGCATCTTCATTACCCCCATTTGGTTTAATGATCCAAACCTCTCTCTCAATGCCCCAGTATTATTATGAACATTAGGTGCTATTGCATTTTAAGTAGTTGGCACTAGACAGGTTGATTTAAAATTCTGCTCTTGGCTGAAGTATCAGATGCCATTGGAAAATGAAAGGATATGCAGTCACTTCAATCCTGTTACACCGAGTCTGAAACGGTGCACTGTTATTTAACCAGACTCGGCACTGTTCTCGCAGACTGACCTGCAGGAAGAGAACGAACCCCTCCTCCAAATCTCGCTCGCCAGGCTGTCCACCTCTTCACACTGTAATCCGGAACGGAAACAAAGCTTAGGTGTCAGTCAGAGGACAGGCAGCCTCAGCTACATGGCATAGGCCTACAGAAGGAGCCGTGTAATCGGAAGGAGAGCTATAGTTTTGCAAAATGAGGATATGATGAACAGCCATCCCTCATTTGCTTCCAGCAAAATTAATCCAGTTACAGTTTATTCAACCGCTGTGTATTCCTGGTGGAGTTACCACTCTAAACACAGTTTGAGAATTTATTCCAATTGGAGAGGGGGTCACTTGATCACCGTTAAACTTAAATATCTAGCATGGGAACCAAATACCCGGACCCCCCACCTGTAGTCCCTCTGAACTTCTGCAGTTACAGTAGAGCAGTGGCAAAAAGCAGTCATGTCAATCACTGCACACACTTGGGTGGAGAACTCCATGCTCAACAGAAGAAGAAGTCCATAAAGAATAGGATTAATTTAAAACAAAGAACACAATCCACTTTACCGCCAAACAGTATTCACACACTTAAATGAGGGTAGTGTGGCCGAGCGGTCTAAGGTGCTGGATTAAGGCTCCAAGTTTCTCAGAGGGGCGAGTTCAAATCCCACCCTGCCAAGTCTTTCTGAGTTAAGACCCTGCTTCCACTGATTACATGTAGTCGTGGCCGAGTAGTTAAGGCAACGGACGCGAAATCCATTTGGGATTCCCTGCACAAGGACTTCGAATCCTGTCGACTACGCAGTAACCCCAAATGGTACTTTTTACCAGCAGCCATATCGCCCTGCAACTCACAACTGGCAGCCCACTGAAGCTCAGCAGGTATGAGCGTGGTCAGTACCTGGATGGGAGACCTCCTGGATAAAACTAAGGTTGCTGTTGGAAGTGGTGTTAGAAGGGCCAGTTGGGGGCGCTCACCCTGCAGCATGTGTGGGTCCTACTGCACCAGTATAGTGACGGGGACACTATACTGTAAAAAAAAAAAAGTGCCGTTCTTTGGATGAGACATAAAACTGAGGTCCTGACTCTCTGTGGTCATTAAGAATCCCAGGGCATTTCTCGAAAAGAAAAAAAACTCTTTCCATTTGCCTTTACCAATTCACGGCCTCCTAACACTCTTCATTTATGAATTGGCTTCACCACTCTGTTCTCCACCCCAATAAAAGCTTTTGTGTGGCGAGCGTTCTGGCGCACAATGGCTGCCATCGAATCATCCAGGTGGATGCTGCACATCGATGGTGTGGAGGGTAGCCCCCCATTACCTGTAAAGAGCTATGAATGGAGTGTCCAGAAATATATAACTATAAGCAATTATTATTTATTCTTATTATTAAATGAAGTGTTGACAACTGCATAAATACCTTATCATTCATTAAACCTATTCAGCTTTGGGTTTTTAGAGAAGAGGATTTGCAGTAGTTTTACTAAAATCCTTGATTACAAGACAGCTGGGGCACAATCATTGAGATAACAGTAGCAGGTATAGAATTTAAAATTAGCCTTATCACCGCTTACATTCTGCAGTGATTGATTGAAGAGTAGCAGCATATTTTACTTTTTACTGCAAATGTGATCCTAAAAATGATTGCTTGGCATAGCTTACAATTTATTAATTCAGATTTTCCTCTGCAGGATGCTATGTCTGCCATCTCCATCCAAAAAATTATAAATTTAAAATGAGGTCTGTAGAAACAGTACAATCTGTCAGAAAATAAAGCCTTGCACTGTGTGCATTAGAAAGAAAAGGCTTACGCTTTGAGTTTTCTGTAAGATCTCAGGACAGCCTTCCGACAGGTCATTTCAAACACAAAGTAAGGTGCACAATTTATTAGTTTCACCAAAAAAGCACATTGAATCATTATTAAAATTATTAATTCAAAAATATTGAAGTCAGTTTGCAAAGGCAAGTGTATCAAGTAGGATTAAAAAAAAATTTACACAGCATTTACACAGCACCCAAACTTGTTTTGTGTCCCTGAAGTGATTCAAAAAGTATGGGAAAAGGCTATTTTAGACCAGATACAGGCAGAAACGCTAAACCTCCTCATTACATTATTTTCATCAATCTTTAAAATGGATGCAGTTAAGGTGCCTATGAATTAAGCTGAACATTCTTCATTAAATGTATTTGAAAGCAATCTCCAGATCTTGTGTTTCCCTCACCTTAAACATTGATTTAGGCTAAGGCCCTGTTGTTTAATTGAACAACTAATGCACACAAATCTAACATACAGAACCCTATTAAAATCTTATAACTTCTGTAACCTTTACTTCTACAACTACTGCATAATGGCAGAGGAAAAGGGGAAAAAACAGAAAGCAGCCTTCCAAGAGACAGCCCTCATAAACTATGCTTCAATAAACCGCTTCCTCCACCTTCCTTTCATTGACAAAACTGGGAGAATTAGCATTTACAGCCCAGTTCCTGTTTCAAGCAATCTCCCACTCCCTCAGTTCCCTTTTTCTTTTCTTTATGCCAGCAGCAACAGCTTGCTGTTTCACAGCTCTGCCTTTGTGTGCCACCTATACAAGTAGGTATGATTTCTGGCGAGTCGTAAAACAATTACTGGCAAATTCCTACAGCTCTTTGATTTCTTGCATGGACAGGGGGAAGGGGGGCATCAAAGCCCTATTTTACCATACAGTACAGGGGACACGGGCAACTCCTTGAAAACTCTTTTGTCTGATTCAGAGGGTCCATAAAGAAATCTTGCTGCTTTGTGTCGGTGCAGATCCAGCCATTTTTAGAAAACAACAGGATGGAAAACAAACCCCCTGTGTGCCATTTGCGGTTGTGAAAGGCAGTGCTGTTGCCACCCTCCTTTTAGGATGTGCAATTCAGGCTTCTGGACCTAGGAGGTTTACTGAAAAACAACACTTCTCCGCATCAAGCACTTCTTTGTCTCTCTTAGACAAGCAGCTAACATACTTCGATAAAGCAAATCACAGTTCCAATTGCTTTGGCTAAAATGCTCATTTATCACTTCTTTGAAGAAACCCAAACCTTAAAATAAAATAAAAAATCATTGCTTTATATTTTGAAAGATATTTTCTTAATGAAATCACTTTTGGATTAACTGGAAAAATACCATAAGATTACTTTAAACAATAGCAATTTTGACTGAAAGAGTATAATCAGTACAGAAGTAAATTCAATATGTTCCACTCATATGGAGTACATAGAAGTTAGCAAAAGAGAAAAGTGCTAAGAGGACTATGAAGAAATATGTAAAACTCCAAACCAAGTTACAGGTTGTTTTTTTGCCATTTCATCATAAATGGGGTTATAATACTAAATAGGTAAAAATACTCCATGTAGCTCGTGACCGATTTACAGCTGTGGTCATATTAACATACAATGATGTACATTACGTAGGTAACTGAACTCCAGGTTGTCCCAGTGTATGTACTGTAGTCTATAAAGTAACTTTAGTGTCATGCTATGAATCCCTTAAAGATATTTATCTGGAAGGCTTTCAGACAGTGAATGATAGCCTAAATGACACAGTTAAGACATCCTAACAGATCTGTCTTTGATACAATTAGGGTCAGACAAAAATGTAAAATGACAGAAAAAAATCTGGCTTTAGCAACTACTACAGATTTCTATATTGAAAAGGAATCTGGGACCCTGAAGTTACTGTATGAAGATAGCTGTGCATCCATTCAATTGAAAGGGTAGCAAATGCATTTTTGACATTTCTGTGGTCACTCCAATGTAATATTAAAAGTAAAATTACATGCTTATTAAATGGCTAACAGTGGTACCTAAGGTAAACCAAAATTGTTTCTATCTGAGCTCTGAGGTTCCTGTGGTTATGTCTTCCTTCAAAAGCAGACAGTCAATGACTTAAGAGGAAATTGAGTCAATGCACATTGTGGGAGATGAAAGTTAGTCAAGGATGAAGGATGACATCATGTTTCACAGCTAGAAACCTAATTATATAAATTGCTTGCTATAGTGGATAAACCCATGAAAATAAGGCATTTTTCTTCTCAGGGTGAAGGGTGTTTCGTTATAAAAACATTCCCTATATCTTCTGGTATGCTTTCGATATGTTTGCACAAATATCCCCCATGGACAATGGTTTTTCAACTAAGTCACTGAAAACAGAGCATAATTAGGAGCAAATATGACATCTCAAAGGAACAGTTGATATCTGCATTTACATATTATATACAATCTCTTACTAAGCCTTGGAAATGGATATGCAAATGAAAATGAGTTGGCATCCGAAGGATCTCAGTTTCACTGCCAATACTTCATATTCACTATTTCCCATAATGGTTAATTTCAGACAACTGCATGCAGAATTTGAAAAGAATAAGATCTAATAAACAAAACTTCACTTACAATATATCAAAAAGAAGATTATGGGCTAATGGTTTCATTGCATTGCAGTAGAAAATGACAAACCAGAAGTTGGAATCAGCCAGTTCTGGAAATCACAGCTCATGGGGATATAAAGGGGGCATTATCAGAAACCCACCTATTTCTGATCAGGGCAACCCATGCCTATCCCAGAAGTCCAGGGCAAAAGGCAGGACTATACATTGGAGAGAGCGCCAATCCATCAGAGAGCAGCACACACATATGGACAATTAAAAAACACCAGCTAACATAGCCAGCATGTTCTAGAAGGTAGAAACAGAATCACCTGGCTAAAACCCAGTAGGATCTTACACAATCCACCCAATAGATGCCTCAGTCCACAACTGACCATCAATCACAAGATAGCAGTCTTTGTGAATAAGCTTTATTTCTGTGAAACAGAACTCTATGAAAGTTTTCACCTATTAAAGGTTTTCTGTACACAATGCTGCAGCTCAGAGTATACTTGCACCTGAAAAAAAAGATGTTTATATTCTTGCTGGTTATAACAAAGAATCTCACTGCTAAAAATGTTAACTTCACTGCCATTTCTAGCAGCTCAAGGAGTGGTCTTTCATGGAGATGCAGATAACTCGCATTTTATTCCATTTCTCATAAACAGTACGCACCCACAGAAAGTTTAGCCGAACTTACAGA